ACACACACACTCACACACCACACACACACACCACACACACCACACACACCACACACACACACACCCACTCACACACACACACACACACACACACACACACACACACACACACACACACACACACACACACACACACACACACACACACACACACACACACACACACACACACACACACACACACACACACACACACACACACACACACACACACACACACACACACACACACACACACACACACACACACACACACCTGGGCACACACATGCGCACGCACACGCACACACACACATTCACACACATTCACACACACCCACACATTGACCTGCACGCACCCACGCGCGCAGCGACCTATTCATATGCACAGGCGCAGGCGCACGCGCGCTCTCTCACACACACACACACCCACGCATCCATTCACCTACCCACCACGCATGCACGCACGCATGCATGCACCCACGCAAGCACCCGCGCCCACACCCGCACCCTCGCGCACCTGCGCACCCCTGCACTTGCGCAGACGCAGGCGCACGCACACGTGCGCAATCTAAAACCACCCACCCCACACACACACACACACACAAAATACCTGTTATCCAACTTTCGGCACGAGTCGCAATGTGGCTTCCGGAAGCCTTTCCGCAAGAGGCAATGTCGCTGAGGCAGCTGTTTGATGGAAAAACAACTTTGTCAGGAACGTATGGCAGACATTGTTTTGACTGACTTGCCCACATTTGCAACCACATGTTTTGGGATCCTGCAGCCTGCTCGGTTTTTAATTTGCCATGCTGTTCACCCTGAACAAACATGTGTCCAAGATAGTAGGTCGCTTAGGACAGGGAATCATTGCAGTCCGGTCTGGGCCCTGCAGAGTTCCCCGATTCGGAGCTCAAAGAAGGTTCAAAACAAAGGGGGACAATGGAGACTCTTTCAACCTCTTTCAGACTGAAGCCGCCAAGTCGGGACCTGTGGATGCGAAACATCAACTAGAGCTGGAGGAGCCACACCACACATGCGCTAACATCGCAGACTATGCACATTCGGTCTTGGTGATCCGACTCGAGTTCGGCGGCGCCGGAGCCCAAGATGCGACAAGGGCCGAGGGTTTGGGCTGCGTTGGTTTCCATTTTTGACTTGGGGAAGGTTTCGGATGGCGCAAGGAATACCAAAATGAAGCCATCTTCAGAGGTCCAAATTTTTGGGAAATAGGCGATCATGCCATCGAATGTGGGCGGCTTGTGTTTTCTTTTCAAGCCATATTAAGAATTCGGAGACTCGGTGCTTTGCCAGGTTTTGTTCTGCTGTGATGTTGGCCGGGTGTGCGTTGGGTAGAAAGGGTGGATCTGAAAATGCGACAATAGAACGGCAACAGCGGAAGAGGAAGTAGCACTCCGCATCCCACATGTTCCAAGGCCGGGAGCATGGCGCGGTGACTCAGTCGCCACGCAGGATCCCGTTGTTTAGTGGATTGCATTGAACCATCCACAATCCTCCGGATGAGTGGGATGTAGGCACGCCGTATGTTCTTCTTTTTTTTTTTAGCATCCTGATACCTGGCAAACCTTGTTAAGGAGCTGTGGCGGATGATTTACAGATGGCGGTCAAATGCCTTCAAGAGAAAGTGGCGACCCTGAGCTGTTGCTGTTGGACATCAACAGACGCGCACGAGGGCTGCTGTTCGACAAACAATGGCAAGTGATCAGCAGTGTGTCCTCTGCTCAGATTGGCGGGCGGGGTTATTGGAACATTCAAACTTTATCCAATGGATTCAGTATTCATCTTGGATTCCTAGTGACCTAGCGTCCCCGAAGGTTGCAGTAGAATGGTTTCATCTATGGTCCTACTATTGCAGGCCCTTGTTTGCTGTGTTTGGAGGAGCAACAAATGCTTTGGGACCAAGCCAGCAAACGTGCATGGTGGTGTGGCATCACTGAAGATTGGGTGCTTTTTTCGTGAAACGGCCAGAGGATATCTCCCATGCCTCCCGAGGAATCAGCGAAACCTTGTCAATCGGGTGGCTGTAGCTTGCTGTATTTGGTGGTATTGTTGCCGGCAAAGGCCACCTCTTGGACCCTTTGAGTTTTCGCCTGCGGAAGGTGTTCCGAGGTTGCCCCTTGTTCCAATCTGCTAGTTCCCCCAGTTGCCATTCCAGTGTTTGGTGATAGGGAGCCCCTGCGTGGATTGAGGCACGAGCAACCATCCTGCTTCCACGTTTTCCAGTTTGAAGCCAAGGCTGAACAAAAATGGTCTCCGTACTCCGTACAGTGAAGCTTTGCTCCTTGCCAAATTGGTGGAGAGCGCCGATTCTTTTCTCGTGCAGTCGAGGCGCTGTGCGCCCCTGCCTTCGGGCCGTGCTTGGGCTCAGGCGTGATTCGCTGGAAAGTGTTCAGCAGGGCTTTGATCGATCCGATCAGTTTTGTGGACCTGTCAGTAGGGGGCAGATGCGGGGTATTACCAAATCGCTTCGGGTTGGTTCGCTGCAGCGGTCAGGTGTCTCAGAGCCAAGTGGGTTTGCAGCCCACCAGGGCAGGCAGAGACTGTTACCATCTGTCGCTCTTTGAGGAAGTGCGGGCACAGTTGCTGGTTCAAAGGCGGGTGCCGGTGTCGAGGATGGGGCTGCGCCGACTTGGGTTCAAGCATTAGTGCAGAAGCAGGGTGTTCACTCCTCGTTGGACCAGTCCCAGTTGGCAATTGGGAGTTGGCTGCCATGAACCTCGATCCGCTGGCCACCTACGTCAAAGAGCGGGAGGGCAAGCGCGTCATCCGCAAGATCCTGATCTCCAACAATGGCATGGCGGCAGTGAAGGCTCCGGCTTTCGTAGTTCTAATTTTGCTGCTGTGAGCCCGCATTGTGGCCTTCCACGCGAAGACATGCACAATCTTGCACATGTGGGCTTTGATAAAGCACGCCCGGTCGTGTTGCTGTGGCTCCACGCAAACATTGTGCAAACCTCGCTTTGGGATTACTTTCAACAATCCTCCCCAACATGCCTGAAGAACAGGTTGTGGTCCACCCTCAACTGATTTTCTTGTAGAAAGTTAGGCTGAAGTGTGCGTGCTCCGCGCCTTTCCTCTCAAAAGGGTCCTGAGTAAAGACGCACCGCTGAAGCCTATCATTGTGTGAAGCGCTGGTTTTTCCTTTCTGGCCAAAATCTGCCACTGCATGTCTGTTCCTGCCCAAAGCCATCCGTGCCAGCCTCGGATTCCGGATGTCAGGCGATTTTGTCCATGCGGCGCTGGACCTTCACGGAGTTCGGCTCCGAGCAGCTCATCACCTTCGTGGCCATGGCCACCCAAGATGACCTCAACGCCAACGCGGAGTTCATCCGCCTGGCGGACTCCTTCGTGGAGGTGCCCTCCGGGCCCCTCGACTTCTCTCTGCCAACCTCTGCTTCTTCTTCTTCTTCTTCTTATTTTATTGATTACTTTTTTTTTCTTCTTTAATTTTTGTGAAGAACCGTTTTGGAAGGGGGCGCTTTACTTCAGCTCTGGTGGCCTGAAAAACGAATCGGTCATTTCAGAAGTGCTAGGAAGAACATCAACAATTACGCCAACGTGGACCTCATTTGCAAAATCGCAAAGGAGCAGCAGGCAGGATAGGGACTCAACCTCCGGGCCTGGAACTTGACAAAGCAAGCTCCTTTGGTTCTGCAGAGTAAGGCTTGCAAAAGGTTGGGTGGCTTCGGCGGCAAATCCATGTATGTCTCCAAAACTCGGAGCAATATGGGGAGGCACCTGGGTTTATGTTCTATTGTTTTTGGCGATTTCCATAGGTGGACGCCGTGTGGCCGGGCTGGGGCCATGCGAGCGAGAACCCCAAGCTGCCGGCATCGCTGAAAGCGATGGGGATCACCTTCATCGGCCCGCCCTCAGGCGGAGAGACTGGGAGACCGTTTGAAATTCACACGAGACGCATGGGGTGTTGGGGTTATCAGTCAACAGTGTTGGTGTTGTTTTAGCAAAAGCGGCAAAAAAAAAGAAGAGGGGCTGTCAAACACATGGCTTCTTTTTGGCTTTCAAAGTCAAAGTAGGTACCAAAAGGGACAACCCTCTACAATTTGGACAACTCGGACCAGTTTGTGCGCACCTGGATGTGCACACATGCTTTTTCCCACGGATCCTTGAGTGGAAAAGGAGTAAGAGCCCAGGAAGAAGGTCGTTGCCAGGTTTATTTGAACAGGATTGAACGTGCTTAGTGCGAAGTTTGCGCGATGAACTGGGGGCAAGCATTGCGACATTGCGGAATGGAACATGTGGAAACAGAAAGAGAGCCCAGGCGTCATGGCCGCGCTCGGTGACAAGATCGCAGCCAACATCTTGGCGCAGACGGCGAAGGTGGGAGCAATCGTGGAGCCCGCGGCTGGAGGAAACCGCCAACCCCAACACGAGGTTTTATTGGGTCCTTGAGCCTCATTCCCCTGTTCTTTGTTGGGAGACACAATACAATGAAATGTGGTGACTTCTTGAGCCTCAACATTTGCGTGAGCGGACTCATCAATCCTGAAATGAACAGCTGTGTTCCTGGAAGCATGATGATTGCTCAATTTATCCACAACCTCCAAAGTGCCGCATGTGTCGACGTCGAGTTCGAAGGGGCAGTCTAGACAGTTTTGTTTTTGTCAATGTGGACTCCTTCCCCCGGACACAAGCAACAGAACACGATCAGTTAAACAATCAGAATCACAAGCATCACAACCCAGGCAGCACATGCTCGGCTTTTGTATCGACAAGGAACCCTTGGAATTTTGGGAATCCAGGTGCCCAGCATCCCCTGGAGCGGCGACGGCCTGACTTGCCAGCTCACAGAGGAGGGCGAGGTTCCGAAGGCGCGCGCCCAAAGGGAGGGGGGAATGGCGGGGGGGGGGGGCCTATGAATCAGCAAGCAACACGTGCACAAAGCCCCAAGCAACATGAGACACCTAGGTCACCCAGTCACCCGGTCACCTGGTCACCCACACACCCATTTTTGTTTTTTTCTCCTTTTCAGGAGATCTTCGACAAGGCCATGGTGACCAGCGCGGAGGATGCCTGCAAGCGGGCGGAGTCCATCGGGTTCCCCATCATGGTGAAGGCCTCCGAGGGCGGCGGAGGCAAGGGCATCCGCAAGGCCACCAACATGGAGGACGGGCGCGCGGACCGGCGGCCCGACTGGGGGGTGCGTTTCGGTTTCGGAAGATTTTCGGGGGCCGAGATGAGTTTGACGGCTGTTTCCTTCTTTTTAAACTCACCAGAAAGGGGCGCAAAGCCTTTTTGGCACTTGCGGCTGGGTCTTTGTTTTTTCATGTTTGAGCGATTTGCGCATCGCATTCTGGTCTCAACCTTCGGCACTTTTTTGCATGTCACCTTTGACCACATGAGGAGCTGAAGGTGGCCTACACGAACGTGGCCACCGAGGTGGTGGGCTCGCCCATCTTCCTCATGAAGATGGTCTCCAAGGCTTCGGGCACAAGGGTGGGTCCCTGCAAGGCTGCGAGAGGGGATGGGCTGCTGGACAAAGTTTGCAGTTTCGCAGTTTCCGCTTGTTGTTCTTGTGGAGAATGGTGCGCCGGCTTTTCGCCGTGATGGTGCAGTATTGCAACGATATGTGTGGCATGCAGAGCAGGACCACTCGAACTTGTGACATCCTGGTTGGGGAGAGTCTGACACAAACAGCGGGGGTTTCGACCATTTTGGCCGCCTTCGGCGCGAGCCAGGCGCGGCACTTGGAGATCCAAATTTTAGGTGACGAGTACGGCAACACGCTGGCGCTGAACGGCCGCGATTGCTCCACGCAGCGAAGGTGGGAACTCACGCGTGCCCCTTGTTTTCTTTTTTGCGAAGGTTGGGAACCAGGATTGGCGATTTGGTGCATAAAAGCAGGGGTCCCATCCATTTAAAAGGGATCCTTCACTGGGGGAAACATGCCCGAATCCATCCGGGTTAATTCAAAACAATTGGGGTTGGATGGGTTGCAGCGCTACAGCCAAAAACAAGTCTCCAAGAGCCTGTTTTGCAGGGGCGGGCCGGTGCTTCTGTGACTATCGTGCGTTTCTCAACCGGTGCCTTTGTGCCAGGTTTCAGAAGATTTTTGAGGAGGGTCCTCCCGTCATTGCGAAGAAGGAGCCGCGGGAGCGGGGAGCGGCCTGCTTTGGCGGGTGAACTGATGTGCTCTTTAGAGGCCAGCCATCAGCTGATTCATGGCAAACCTATATAAACCTATCGCCTTTTATATGGGCCCGTTACACGACCTGTCCTGGACTGCCTCTGCTCCAGCCACCAGAAAGCTGCTCTTTGTGTTCATGCCCTGTGCAGCAGGACTGACAAGTTGTCAGGATGATGTGTGAGCACTTTGGACAACCGAATGAATGCCAAGGCACGCAACCAACTGACAAACCCACTTTGGCCACTTGGTGGCGTCATGGCCATTTGAGCACCAGGCCTCCCAATCACTGATTTGCGCAGCAGAACCTCCGCGACCACCGACACCAGCAAGACCAAAAAATATATATATATTTTCGGCACACCCCTTTTTCTGCAGTTTAATTGATCTTGGCCCTTGAGCAACCCTTCAAACAGGGTGTCCGCAACTGCAACTTCAACTTCAGCATCTGTAGGAAGTCTTCCATGAGATGGAGCGTGCCGCCATGCGCCTCACGGCGCTGGTGCAGTACCGGGGCGCCGGCACTGTGGAGTATCTTTACAGCCCGGCCACCGACACCTTCTGCTTCCTGGAGCTGAACCCCCGGTTGCGCCCTGGCATATGGTATATGGCATGAGGCCGGTCTAGACTTTTCTTTGCTTCGTTGTTTGAGCTAGGCAGGCGGGGGAATAATCGTTGCAGTCCGCTTTGAAGCAAGCTGAAACTGGCAGTTGGCGATTTTCCCTTCGTGAGAGGGACCTCAAATTGTGTCAGTTGGCTGGGTCGGCAGAGCTCGGAGATGTCTTTGATTAGGCATGATATTCAGGGGATCAATGTGAGGAGGAACCGAAGCAAAACCACACAACACACACACACACACCCACACACACACACACACACACACACACACACACACACACACACACACACACACACACACACACACACACACACACACACACACGCAATACCTGGCACGGGTACTCGGCCGAGAGCCACTCCGTACGGTATGAGCTGTTTTGAACCCTTAAATATTCCACATTACTTTTAGCAATTTTGCAGTTTAGTTGGGGGTTTTGGTTTCTTAAAAGGACACCAAAGGAAACCACCTGTTTGGGGGACCCCTGTTTTGAGAGAGAGTCCTTTTCAGGCCGTTCACCTAGAGTGTTAGAGCCATTTTTTGCTCAAGGCAGGTGGAGCACCCCGTGACGGAGTCGATCACCGGGGTGAACATGCCAGCCACGCAGCTGCAGATCGCCATGGGCGTGCCGCTGTACAACGTCCCGGACATCCGGCGCTTCTATGGCGCCTGAGACACAACAGGAGATGTCAAAGCCAGCCCTCTTCTTGGTCCCTTTCAAGCAGCAAAAGGACAGTAATTCTTTGAGAGGGTCCCTAGTTTTGACACATACTGTTAATGTTGATCACATGCTCAGATGTCCACTTAACTTGTTTATGGATTGGAAATTGCCCAAATCATTTCGGAGTATTGGGGTGACACATTGAACATAACGCAGCTTCTGCTGCTCAGTAGATGCATCAAGGTTGGCATGGGTTGATCGCCATATTGCTGAGCGAAGACTCACGTACAGAAGCCCCTCCACAGTCTTCGCAGGCATTTTGGGCATCGCTTGGTTCTGCCATCCCAAATACACACTGCGCGCGTGCTGTATTTATTGCAGCATGCCCTTCAAACAACAAACAAACAGAACGTCTATTGCTTGGCGTTCAAATACACCAGTACCAGCGACAGCAACACCAAAAAAGGTGGCGACACTGGCTGAGGCATGGACCCCACGGTGAACTCCAAGATCGACTTTTTCGCGGTCGACTACCCCCCCATCACCAGCCACTGCTGCGCCTCCCGCATCACTGCGGAGAACCCTGACGAGGGCTTCAAGCCCACCAGCGGCAAGATCAACAGCATCCGCTTCCAGAGCTCTGGCAGCTTGCATGCAGAAGGGAAATGGGCTTCCTCCATCAGAATTTCCCTTCTGAGCGCACCTGCCAGGCATGTGCGGTTGCGGGTTGCGGGTGTGCGTGTGCGAACATTGCCGTGGTAGACGTACTGTAGCAAGCTTTCCAGGTGCCCGCGGCAACTGCTTTTGATATTGATTTGGCTTGTCCAGGCGACTGCTGGGGCTACTTCAGTGTTGGCCTGAAGGGCGGCATCCACGAGTTTGCGGATTCCCAGCTGCCCGGCAGCAACACTTCTCAGCACTCAAAATCGTGAACCAGCAGCCTTCAGCCAAGACACAGCCCAGAGCCAACAGTGAATGGCAGCAAAGACTTTGGCAGTCTAGTGAGACCCTTTTCATAGCGACCAGCGCACAAGTCTTTCTCAGCAGATTGCGAACCGAAGGAGGCGTGTTTCGTCTTTCTTCTTTGTTTTCCTCCATGTGCGTTCTGTGCCAAGCGATGGCCAGGTTTGGCCACATCTTTGCGAAGGGCCCCAACCGGGAGGCCGCCAGGAAGAGTCTCCGATTCGCACTGATGAACTTGGACATCTCCGGAGACATTCGCCACCCGGTGGACTACCTGGTGGATCTCATCGAGACCAAGGCCGATGCGTTGCAACGTTGGCGTAACTTTCGGATCCAGCCAGCACCTGGTTCGACATGCATGGAAGGCAACTCGAGCGGCCGAAGCAACCCCAAGTCTCGTGAGGAGTACCGGGAGAACACCATCGACACCATGTGGCTAGATGGGCTCATTGCCTCCAAGGCCATTTTGCCCTCCTTGGGCACCATGGAGGTGGTCTTCTATGCCGCAGCGCCTCGGGAGAGAATGAAGTGTGAGTCACTTCGGCAAAGCCGTTTCCCTGGGTCAGCCCAAAAAAAACGCGAAAGGTGAAATGCTCATGCCCCTATCCCAGCCTGTTGGCGATTTCGGCTTGCCTTCCAGGTTTTGGGACATATTGCATGGTTTTGGGTGGCGTCTGTCACGTGTGGCGCAGGTGTACTGTAAGCCCAGCTGGGCCAATCAGGAACATTCGGAGCTAAAGCCCCAAGCTGCAGTGGCATGTGGCCACAATCCAAACCCGGGCAGAAGAAGGTTAGTAAGGGACGATCCCAACCATAAATAGCTGCGGCCGCCTTCTTCATCCTGTACATGGTCCTGGGAAGACCATTTTAGTACCAGGTTTGGATTGCGACTGTGAGGAGCTCGTCCGGCGCGTCCAACAGCCCTCACCGGTCTCCCTGGTTCCCTTCCACGAACCTCGCCCCCTCTCCCCAGTCGCCATCTTGAGGTGTTCCGGGCCTTCGCCAGCTGCAAGTCGCGGTGCAGCGAGGCGGTGAGCTCCATGCAGAAGGGGCAGCTGGTGCTGCTGGGCAAGACGGCGCCTCGCATCGTCTCATGGGCGGTGGGGGAAGGAGGGGTGGATGGGGTGGATGGGCATAGCTGGTTGAAGCCATGCTTTCTTGGAGGGCCAGGTGATTCAGAGGTCAAGATCACTGAGGGGCACGGCCTTGGGGTGAAGAAGGGATGCGCCTCGGTGTGAGCTGATTTAGTGCAGGCTGTCGACGCTTGTCCTGACTTGGATGCAGGTTGAGGACTTGTAGCCTACCACTCCCAGCACAGGCCCCAGAAGGATCTGCAGCCAGCTGTGATGCCATTTGCTTTGGGCTTTGAGGACACAGACGCTTTGGTCTCCTTCCCGATTGAGATTACCTACGATGACAAGAAGTTTTCGTGCCTTTCCTTGGACAGGATGTGGTGTCGTGCACATAGTTAAGGGCTCTCTTGGCTTTTCTTGGCCCGGCTAGAGGGCGTATCTCAAAAGTTCATTTGCGCAACATATTTGGGGACCCTTCCAAATGGCACTTCGCATGCCTCACTTGTACTGAAAAGTTGCGACTTCCGAGTTGGAGCCGCCAAAGTGTGCTTTGCGCACCGCGCTTGTACTGAAGTTTTGTGAATTTTGAGCTGGAGTTGCCAAAGTACTTCGTGCATTGCACTTCAGCTGCAAGGCTGCAACTTCTGGGCCGGAACTGCCGAGCTCCCACCAATGATTGCGAGCCAAAAAAGTACTTTCGTCCGCTCTCATATAGTGAGCGTAGTTTTTCTTCTAGGGGTCATTAGGGGCCATCAATCATCTATGACCTTTCCATGGCCCTCCTTGGTCTGGATCTGAATCAGCATTTCTCTTCAAGCACACAATAATCTCGCTGCTGGGACCCAAACACCTGGAGCCAGGGCATAGAACATGTGTGCTGATAGATAGCTATGCATGACATGCCCAAGCTGCATTGGTTTGTTATGTGGCAGCCATCACCCTAGCGGCTCTATCGTATTTGCGTCATGCAGCTGGATGGATTTCTTGCTTGATATTTGGCTGTGGCTCAGAAAAATGTGCCAAAATGAAACCTTGGTAAATGGAATCAAAGACTAAGACCTGCGTAACCCCTGCTGCTTAATTTTGAGCCACACCCATTTTGTTGTATTTAGTCTGATTTCTGCATCAACCACCCAAGACCAAATCGCAACCCTACATGGAATCGTTGCGAGAAACTGATACATGAACAAGAACTCCTCTCTTGTGGTTTGTTTCCTGAAGGCAAGACATGACAGTAGATCATGCAGCGACAGAGAGAGAGAGAGAGAGAGAGAGGCAGAGAGAGCGGGAGAGCGACAGAGAGCGGGAGAGAGAGGGAGAGAAAGGGAGGGAAAGAGAGAGCTAGAGAGAGACGCAGAGAGAGTGGGGAAACAGAGACAGGGATAAACAGCGAGAGAGTCCCCCCCACCAGGTTCTACGTGTCGCGCTCGCGGCCGGACCTCTATTCGCTCACCGTCAACGGCAAGACCATTCGCGCCAAGGTGCGGGAGCAGCCGGACGGATCCCTGTACGTGAGCGTGGGCAAGATCAGCCAGCAGGTCAAGGGCCAAGAGGAGGCGGTTTGGGGTGGCCGGGGGGAAGTGAGAAATGAGGCCGGGAAAGCTCACAAGTGGATTCTCTGAAAGGCTTGGGGTGGCCAGCACTTGGAACTCATTTCATCGCGGCATGGGCTGAGGCAAGGGAGCAGGGTTGCCTTGGGGGCCTTGACGCGCAGACAGATGTTACAATGACTTTGCGGGTTGAAGGCTTAGAGGGTTTCAAAGGTAGCTTGTTACATGTTACATGTACGCGTTGATCTTCTCGTGTTTTACCAAGCCTGGCTTTTGATCTGGAACCGTAGCTTGCAGAAAAGGATGAGTGGCATGGAGAAGTCCGCATGGACCTTGGGCGTCTTTTTTTTCAGGCACTGGGTCTGCGGCTGATCATCGGCGCCCAGACCATGATGGTGCCCACCGTGTACGACCCCTCTGAGCTGCGCTCCGACGTGAACGGCAAGGTGGTGCGCTATTTGCACGAGGAGCTTGCCATGTGCGCGAGAGAGACCGGCCTAGCGGTGAGACGGTGTGGTCGTTTCAGGAAAAGAGATCTCCGCTTCTGGCTTTGCCTGCCAGGAGGGAACAGAGATTGCAAAGGGCGACACCTATGTGGAGCCTCGTCCGGCATGGGTCGGTTGAGGCGGCGCGCGATTTCACTTGGGAATATGAGGGGACGGGGGACCCTTGACACCCAGCCTTGAGTGTCTTTCCAACATCTGAACCCGCTGGAGGCTTGGGGACTTTTTGCGTTTCATCAGGAATTGGAAGCCATGAAGATGATCATGGCCATCAAGTCGCCTGAGGCCTGAAGCTCAAAATCCCAGGAGTCAGAAGCTTAGGCCTTTGCAGGAAGGGCTGCAGGCCTTGACATGAGCTAAAGCGGGGAACCAACTTTCGTCGAATTTCTTTCCTGCCAACTTTGGGCTGTAGAGACTCAAAGACTTCTTTTTTTTTCCCCCCGTGCCGTTTTGGGGCTAATTCTCGTCATGCTGTACCCTCATGCTCAGTAGGCTTGTCCTCCGCTTTGAAGGACATCAAGCCTAGTTCCAAAGCCACGAGCCCAACACAACATACAAACACACACACACACAAAGGCTTGCCATTTTACCATGAACAAAGCACCACAGCCCAGAGTGTTTGGCAAACCCTCTTCAGCAAGTTTTCCACAAGCGTCAGCCCACGTTTCTGAAAGATGTGTGGCGGTGCTCTTTCTTTGGGCCAGCTCGTTTCTGCCGTTGCCGACGGGACAACGGGCAGGCAGGGAAGATCCGTCATGCCCTGTCCGCCGGGAGCATCGTGTCGGCCGGGGAGTTGCTGGCGCAGCTGGAGCTGAAGGATCCCTCCAAGGCCGAAAGCCGACTGTTGTTGTTGTTGTTGTTGTTGTTGTTGTTGTTGTTGTTGTTGTTGTTGTTGTTGTTGTTGTTGTTGTTGTTGTTGTTGTTGTTGTTGTTGTTGGTGGTGGTGGTGGTGGTGGTGGTGGTGGTGGTGGTGGTGGTGGTGATGGCATCTTTTGAGAAAGATCGCGCACCATTGCACGTTGTTTTGCTTGAAATTCAAGCGGGAGTTCGTGTGATCTGAAACCGTTTGTAGCATCAGACCGAAAACTGCTTTCGGGACATGCTCCTGATTAGACTTGCTTTGGTGTGCTCGTGAAGCCAATCATTCGCGGCATGTTTTTGGGATTTTACTCCGTTCGAGCAAGAGCCGAAGTGTAAACAAGCTGGCAGCACAGAGCAGCACATACACACACACACACACTGGCGCCGGTGCGTCCATTGCGCGTATCTTCCATGAAAGAAGGATTGGCATTCGGGCAGGTCAAGAAGATCCTGCCTTTCGAGGGGGAGTTTACCATGGGCACAGCTGATGAAACGGAGGCAGCCAAGGGCGAGGGGCGAGGGGTGTGCGTGAGTTTGGGGCTTGAGGTGTTCATTGGTTGATTCCCTCAAACAGGGTGCCAGAAACTCTGTGGCAAGACAGGGAGTCGTTGCTGGTGTTGTCTCTAATGGATCGTGCAACCGTGCCAAATCAACGTTTTTGCATTTGCCATACTCCAGCACAGGGCTAGCCTCACTCCCAATCATATCAGAGCCCAATCTGCCAGAATATACTTGGCGTCTCTAAATACCAGATGACACTTACACCTGACCATGCAAATAAAGCCACGGAAAGGAAACTACGGCATGTCAACTCACTAACATTACCGTATAGTTTCTGCGCAACTCCCTGCCGGATCCGAAATTCTTCAACTTTCGACCTCGCCCTGCAATAGGCCAAGCAAAAGCTTTGGAGTTTCAAAAACAATGCAACACAATCACCGTAACACGACATGGGCCCAAATGCACGGCTTTGAGTAGTGGCTTCTTCTGTGTCTCCCCATGATCAAAACAACAAGAGAGGGTCATTGTTGCCTTAATGAGAATCCCGATCATGAATCATAAAGGTTGCTAATTCCTTCAGCGTCCCGTGTTGTCTTTGCAGCCTCCATGCTTGAGGCACCGGCCAGGGAGGACCTGCAGGCGCTGCTGGACGGATACTCCGTGAACCGCAAGGGCCCGCAGCTGGTGCAGCGCCATGGCGGGGGTTGGATGGGCGAAGGTTTGAACGAGATTCTTCTCCGCCTTTGAGGAACCAAGATGAGGTTGCTGAAATGAAAGAATAGGTGTTCAAAAACGCATTACGATGTGGACAGTTTGGCCCAAGACAGGCGGATGGCGGAACTGGGACCGAGGACCATGTTCGAGGGCTTCGCCAACCCAGAGAGCGCCGCGGAGAGCGTGCAGGGGATCCTGGAGAAGTACCTCTCCAATGAGCGGCCCTTTGCGGCTTCCATTCAGCAGCTCGGGCTTTAACAGAACTGCGCGAAACAAGGGCACATTCTCGAGGTTAGTTGGCCACTTCAAATCTGCCACTTTAACCTGGATCGGATTTCGTGACACGAATCTTTGAGCAGGCCATGCTGGGGGATGGCAAGGCAGCTCCAAACAAGAAACAGCTGGTCATTTTAGTTCGCCTGAAAATGGGGAGATTCGTTGGACATCTTAGCAACGATGTTCCCAGATCTTTGACGCCTTTGCTGTGGAAGTGGGGTTTTGGATGTAGCTTGACTTCAGGAAGAAGCAGCCTTACGACGAGCTCCTGCTGGAGCTGATCGGTGAGGGCAAGGAGAATCTTGAGAAGGCGAGGTTTTAAGACAGGCCCAGTTGACCATGCATGTAGGATAGGCAGCGATTTTGGATGCCACATTTGCGGACAGAGTTTTCCATGCAATCACCGGAATTCTGACTGCAGCGCGCAGGTGTTTGTCCTCCAGGTTTGTTTGAGTCATGTTTGAATTTGATTCCCGCCCCTCTGCCTTGCCGCTCAACCCATCGGCAGGTGCTTTTCATGGTGGTGGCCCACAACAAGATGGCAGAGCGCTCCGAAACTATCATGGCCATCCTGCGTGAGATGGTGGCGGCAGAGGGCTCCGGCATGTCCTGCATGTCCCTCGCAGCAGGTTCGCTCAAGATTCCAGTGTGGGAGATGGTCACTAGAGAAACCAGGGACTCCCCAATTTTCCCATGTCTTCTTGGGGATGCAAGCAATCTCAGGGGGAACCTGTCTGGCTGAAAAATGGCTGTTTGTTCCTTTCAGTATTTCAGTATGTTACTGTGGGTAACACAGTTGCCACAAGGTGATACACCTATCTATACAGATGTGCATTTATGGCAGGACACCCACACACATTATACAAATATATTGTATATATATATATATGCATGCACGGTATTCAAGCAATAGTCCAGCGGTTCGCAGAAAGCACTTTCGACATTCTTGTGGAAAGCTTGAAGTCGACGAGAATCTTGCTGAGCTTTATATGGTGCTTATTGGCCAAGTAAGTTGTTTCTGTTGGCTAGCTTTTTGCCGATCGGCCGTTCAAAGTCCATGGGCTATGACTCAGCGCCTTGACGCTAGGGGACTTGTAGCTTCTCCCCCCACTTCGGGGCGAACATCTACCCGGGAAAAGCACGTTTCCATGAGCTACTTGAGTTTCCCTGTACAAAGGTTTGGCCAACGGTTCTGAGATACCTTCTAATTTTCTTCAGAAACGTGAATGATATCGACTCCCCTGGAAGGAATGAGCTTTGTTTGGACCCGAGGGGCTCTTTTCGCGCTTTACGAGTGCCAATGCTTTGCCGTCAAACTACTTCCTTTGTTTCTATTCCTATATCTTAGATCAAGCTGCAAACACTTAACTCGGCGCTTCGTTTTGGAGGAAACCTCTGGCCAAAATCGAAGCAACCGCCAAGCTGATGTTAAGCGGTTGCACGGTTCCGGAAACTGCCTCGCACGCTTAGCCGTGTTTCTTGGTATCCCTCAAAAGCGTATCCAGTCCAGGAGAGGGGACCTTCTTTTTGGTTCCTGATTGGTTTCCCTTTAAACCAACCCAGAAAAGGGGCAATGGCAGCGGTCCAGATGCGAGGTACGTGCCCGAGGTGAAGGGCGACCTGGGCCCGGTGCACACGAAGATCTCGGAGCTGGCCTCGCTGCCGAGTACTGCAGCAGTGGCCGGGGACTATGGCAACGTGCGCTACCTCGCGCAGCAGCAGCTTCCCCGAATTTGAGTCGAGGGGAAAGAACCGGCTGGCCATTTCGTTTTTGGTGGGCATGTTGCTGGACATGACAAAGCAGAAATTTGGAGGTCAGGTCTTAGCTGCTCATTTCCAGCTGAGTGTTTCTCAAGCTGGTGGACCGCCCTTCAAGGGAGACCCAAAGGAAACCAGAGTGTAGGCAATGCGCTCTGAGGCTTTTGGACGTCCTGCCCCAGGAGTCCTATGAGGAGCGGGTGGCCGGATTCAGGGAGCAGCTGGCTAAGCTGGACGACAAGGCGCGCAGTTAATGAGAGCTGATCAGATCGACGTGTCCTATTGAAAGCAAAGAGTGAGATGTGATCGCATTGCTTTTTGCGTCTTATTCAAGCGGGTTCACAAACAAGAACAGTGGCAAAACACCTTGCGCACGTGCACACGTGACATTGAATTCCATTCCGCCACATTTCACTACCTTGCGTGACATTACATTCCCTTGCACACACACACACACATCATACAGTTGTCACATACACACACACACAGCACAGTTCATTCATGCATTTATGATGCATTCAGCTGTACATGAAGCAGACAGGCATGCAGACATGCAGAGATTTGCACACGCACACATGCATCGCACTGACCCGAGTCGCTTTTACATGTACGCACGGGCATGGCCCCAAGACGGATCCTCCAGGAAAAGTCGGCGCCCTGACAGGCGCTGGAGGTGGGGACAAGCCCTCAGGACCTGCCCGGAGCGGTGGATGGCAACTTGGAGATGGAGCTCCTGGTCGAGTCTCTCTACGACAAAGACGCCAAGGTCCAGAGGCCATTTTGGGGGCTCGAGGAGTTGGTGAGGTTTGAGTGGGGTTCAGGGGAAAGTATCAAGAATAGCAAACTGACAAACTGTCTGGACACGTATGTGGCACACGCGGGCGGGCGACTGGTTGGAGGGCTGAGGCCCAACTCCAAGCCAAGAGTACCAGCGTGTGATGGGCCCGTCCTGGGTGCCGATCATTTTGGTGAAGTACAGAATTGCTATGCCTTGTTTGCCCTCTAGCCAGCCAAAAAGGGCGTCGGAGTCCATATCCATGGCTTCTTTGGGGATAATTCATGGGACAACTGATTTGAAATCGGGCGAGGGCCATCAACCCTTAGTGCTTTCAGGCGTGTGTCACAGTCAAAGATTGATTCATGGCCATTTCGTGGTTGTGAAGCCAGTCCTACGACAGGCGCAGCTTGCGCACTTACCTGGGTTGGCTCAGTGCTCCCTCGCAGCTGAGCAAGCTGGACCTCCAGGCGAGGATTCAGAGCCACGTGGGTCTTCCACAGTTTGCCCACATTCTCATCCAACAGTTGCCAGGCAATCATACATGGGTTTGAGTGTTTGTTTTTTGGTGAAGGACGGTGGCAAGTCGGCGCTGTGGACTCAATTCTTCCCCGTGGGCAAGGAGGAGCGGAGCGAAGACAAAGCGAAACGACATGGATGGTTTCGTTGCATTGCGGCAGCAAAAGGGGTTCACTAGAAGTGGCGGACAAAATGTCGTCCAGTTGGTCCCTTGGACTGGACCAACTGGCCGACTGGATCGGCAGACGAGCTCTCGAATTGACGACAAAACACGTGCGGAGTTGAGAGAATGTTGCCAATGACAACCATGCTTGATATCCTCTTGCGCTAGCCCTAGTTGTGAGTGGCTCTTGGGTGCTAGCATCAGTTGGCATTGGTCACGGGGTTGACTGTGGCGCGTGTCAGCTGACAACGAGTAATTGTTACTAGCGACCAAGTGACCATTTCGCAATGGTGGGTCACATGCCTACCTTTGCTTGGGGAGGGACCATGTTAAAGGTGTACGACATGTCGACCTGTGTTCACGGAAGCTGGCATTTCGGCATGGCAAGAGTTGCCGAGCTGTAGGGGCGTCTGTGACCGGTCAGGAGGTGCACGAGCGCCACGGCCTGGCCTTGGTGCTGGAGGATTTGCAGCAGCTGGAGCCCGGACTGGCGAAGCTCCAGGGTCTGGCAGCGCTGCAGGCGGGGGAGAGTGGTCGTGAGAGGGGCTTTGTGGCTCAAGGTGCGAGGTGTTTCTTTATGGAAGCAGAACATCTTGCAGGGAAGGGAGCCGCGTTTTGGGTCGGGTTTTGGGCTTGGAGTCGTGCTTTCCAGAAAGGCTCAAAAGGAATCGGAACTCGCAGAGTCACACTACCGTTCTCCCAGAAGACAAAACCATGACAACTTTTTTAAAACGCGAGTCAGTTTCGGGGCAAAGTGTGACATGGCAGACAAGATGTTGGGGTCGAAGCTCGAAAACCAACCCGAGTTCACGGCAAGGGTACCAAGACGGTGCCGCTGAATTTCCTGCACATCGTCGCGGGCCGGGACGCCTTCCCCGGGGTCACGGACCGTACCTTGAGCCTCGGGCAGAAGTTGTGTGGGATTTCGGGCTGTGAGGTGGTTCGCGGGGACGTGTTTCATTCCAAGGGGTGGAAGGGGAGACTTGCTTTTCTCCTCGACGGCTTTGAAGTGCGAGAGACGGCCTTCGATCCAGTTTTTCGGTGGGAGGTTTTCTTGGGATGGCGGCGAATTGCGTGCGGATCACTTCAGGTTCTACAACACAGATGAAGAGGTTGCCAAGGCCTCCAAGTCGTGCCAGGCGCCGTGGGAGCATGTAATGGGGCTGGTGCTTCGGCCTCAGTATTCAAATTCGCCCAAGTTTGTCTTCCCAAGTATCACTGTGCAAGTTGTCCCTGTGCTGTCTCCAAGATGGGATCTGTGCAAGTGTGCTCTTTGCGCATGTGCTGTGTGCAATTGCTACTGGCGCACGTGTGCTTCGTGCAAGGTCTCTCTGTGCAATTGCTGCGTGGGCAAGGGCTCTCTCTCTCTCTCTCTCGCTCTCTCTCTCACTCTCTCTCTCTCTCTCTCTCTCTCCCCCCTCTCTCTCTCTCTCTCTCTGTCTCTCTCTCTCTCTCTCTCTCTCTCCCCCCTCTCCCTCTCTCTCTCTCTCTCTCTCTCTCCCTCTCCCTCTCTCTCTCTCTCTCTCTCTCTCTCTCTCTCTCTCTCTCTCTTCAAAAAATCTGCGCAATGTCGCGCGTACAAGGTCTTTGGGACACACATACATTTTGGTTCTGTTCACATGCTCAGAAGAAAATCCATAACAGTTCCCAACTCATCAAATAAGGCGCCTCCTTGACATGGTCAACCCGTACTAGACCCACGTTGCCCGACTCCCTGCGCGTCTGACGCGACACCACGGCATCCCGCCTCAGACTGGCCTTGGCCAGGAGCTCTTCGCCCGAAAGGCCGAGCTGTTGAAATCGGCGGGGGTGGGAGAGATCTGCGTGGTCTTCCCACAGCCGCCGCGGCATCCCCGCTTCGTCAAGTTGGTCCTGGAGCCCACCTCCGAGGCACCGAGTGTGGGGGTCGGGCCGGGGGGGGGGGAGGAGGCATGCGAGGGGGTCACGCCAAGCGCCAGGAGTGGACGGAGGATGAGCTGAGCCGGGACATGTGGCCCTCCTTCTCGGGCATGCTGGAGCTGAGCAAGCTTGAGCGCCTCTACAGCCTGCAGCGCATCCACAAGGAGGTGCGCGATATCTCTGTTTTCCTTATCTTTGTTGGGAGGTTCGTCTGTTCCAGAAGGCAAACCCTTGCGGCTTGTAAAGTGCAGACACACACGTTCCCTGGTCTCAGTTGGCGAGGGCAGATGAAGGGTCCTTGCTGGAAAGCTCCGAGGGACATTGTTTCAGTTCTGGAAGGGCTAAACTTGGCTGTCATGCACGGGCACAACTAGGCAGCGTCTGTAGCAGTTCCATTGACTGGTAATTGTACACGCTTGGACATTCGCTTCGGGGGCATTCATTGGAAAACGAGAGGTGCGGCCCACCACCCAGATCTATTTGGCGACGCAGCCCATGATGGGCAGCAAGGCACGCGATCTGAAGGGGCGCGCTTGGACGTTTCGAGGAAGCCGCCGTCCTTCAATTTTCTTTCTGTCGCTACTGAAGCTAAGAGCTCCAAGTTGCCCATGCGGGTGTTTCTCACTATAGTTTCCCCTAAAATGGTTGGTTTCTTCTTGGTTTTCCCTCTACCAACCAAAGGCAGCCCACCGTGTTGAGAGCTAAATTATTGGTTGGGATCGCGGTGCGATAGGCCCCCGCGCCGGAGCTGCTGATGCGGGCCCTGTACTTGTCGAAGGTGGACAACAAGTCGCTGAGTCAGTGCATGGGCGACAGCCTGGACCTTGCGCTGGAGGAGGCCTCCGCTTTGACGTTGCTATAGAGCCGAGGGTAAGAGGGTGTAGGACTAAAACCGAAGTGGCCCTGGGGTTTTAAGAATAGGGCAACCCCAAAATGGGTTGCCTTGGACTAAAACCAGTGGTCCATATCCTGTTGAATCTTGACCCATACCCAAGTCACCTCTTGTTGCCAAAGTTGTTTGGAGTTCCAAAGACGAGAGAGGCCCGGAAACAGCGGAATTTTTGAGGTGGAGCATGCCATGCTGGACCCTCGGGTGGCCAAGTTCGGGCCCACCGTGACCAGCCGCATCTTTATGCGCCTCTGGCGGAGGGGGAAGGGGGGCATACCTTTGGTGGGGCGGGTGGTTCTGGATAATGGAAGGGGCTAAACAAGCACTGGTCTTGACTTAGTTTGGTTTTGCAGGACCACAACCCCACTCTGATGATTTAGCTTATAGCAGAAACTGGTGGTTCAGACTTGTGCAGCTGAGCGTCTTCTCGGATGGTGAGATTGGTGCTGACAGGTTGATGTGGCGAGGAATCCTCCAAGAGGTCGGTTCTTTGTTTTTATGTCAGTTATCCTTTGCCAAGTGGAACACAAAGAGCCATACGAGTGGTTTGCTAATTGCTGCCTTGATCTGGAAGCCGGCTTTGGCGCTTGGGATCATGTGTGCATGTGATTTTGTGAGGCTCTTGGGTTGTCATTCTTTTGGGGAGCGAAGCTTTATCATTCACACTTTTTTTAGTGACTGTGGGTACAGCTCTCTGTGGCTTTGAGCCATTGCGTGTTTCTCCAAATTGAGGACCCCAAAAACTGCAGTTTCCTCTTGGTTTCCTGTAGGCATTCAAAAGGAGTCCTCCCCCTTTGTCATCTTCTGTGTGAGACGGTGCTGGGGGGATCTGGGAATTGAACGCGATGTCATTCAGGGACTGTGGCTTGACTTTCTGTTCAGCGGGCAAACCCCTGGGCTTAAGTCTACGGTGGCGTAAACAGCAACCGTCTCTGCTTGTTTTGGGTTGGTGTACAGGGAAACCAATAGGAAAACAACTGTTTTTTGGGGGGGCCAAATGATTTGAGGAGCCATCCCCTACCCAGATGGAGCCCAGGCACTTCCTCAGCGAGTTGGACATGCCGCTGGCGGACTTGGAGCAGCTGTTCCAAGACACCATCAGCAGCCAGGCCTGGGATTTTGGGTTTTGTTCTCTTGCGGTCGGGCGGACATGGGGGACAGGCCAAATCCCCAATCAGATTCCAGTTTTGAGGACACTTCCTTGGTATTCTCTTGCCTTATGTTTGCAAACGATTGGATGGGGACCTGCATGAAGCCTCCGCGATTGTCTTTTCGCAGGTGGGCCACCGCGGCTCGGAAATCATCAAGCTCTGCATCGACGACATCGAGGCAGATCTGAGAAGGGGTGTGTCTGAAATAGTGAGAGTTCATTGAAGCTGAAGTTGGTTGCCTTCCTGAAGCTTTTCTTTTTCTCTTGGGATCTCTCCGTGCCTGCGCTCTTCTTGCGCACGGAAGTGGGCTGCGTTGAGGTGAAGGTGCACCACCGCACCAAGGGCGGCCTGGAGATCCTGCGGATGTCGCTGAGCTCCTTGCACGGAGGCTTCCTGAAGCCCAAGATGCTGCGGGAGATCCCGGACCCCGCCGGGGCCCGAAATGGTCGGCCGGACGCCGAGGGTTCGTAGACTGGGTTTGGTTGATTCGGATGGCCGGCGTGTCTCGGTCTGTCGACTTCCTGCTTTTTAGAAATGGCAACTACTGGGCGATTCTGGTATCAACTTTTGTCTCATGCGTACCAAAGGGACAGTTGTTCCAAATGTGACAAACCCTCCAAATCTCGCCTAGGCATTGGCACCAGCCATGGGATCCTTTGGATAGCTTGCCCAACTTTTGGCAAGCCCCCAACTGTGGCAATGGCAGTAGTTCCCTTGCCCAATGGCAGACTCAAAAACTGGTTTGCCAGTTGTCAGGAAACCTCTTCGTAGGCATGTCGTGCTTGTGCTTCTCCTTTTCCGAGGTCACCGGCTACCCGATCCGCTACGAATCCCCGGACAGCCAGGGCGCGACTGGCGCTGCGCAGACGGACACCGCGGTGCTGGCGAAGCTGCAGGCCAAGCACGTGGCGGCGCGCCGGGCTGGATCCACCTATGCCCCCTGGCCGGTGGCGTTCTGTAGGGGTGCCATGGTGGAAAAAACCGGTCAAATGGGACTTTAGAACTATAGACTGTCAACAAGGTTTCTTTTAAGGAAACGATGACCAGGCCAGCAAAAGAAGTTTGGAACCTTGCTCAGGTGTAAAAAGGTAAAGAGGTGGAGAGAGAGAGAGAGAGAGAACAGAGACAGAAAGAGAGAGAGAGAGAGAGAACAGAGACAGAAAGAGAGAGAGAGAGAGAGAGAGACAGAGAGAGAGAGAGAGAGAGAGATTGAGGGGGGGAGAGAGAGAGAGAGAGAGAGAGATTGAGGGGGGGAGAGAGAGAGAGAGAGAGAGAGAGTGAGAGAG